GACTCTCCTGTATTTATTTGTTTCTCCTAACCTGTTCTAACCTTTTCTTGCAGTCAGCATCAAGTGCCTTACCTCATTTGATTCAGGAGAACCTCTAGTTCAAGTCTGGCTCATTTGAAATCCAAATTTTACCATAACTTTGTGTGATAATGGCTGAATTTACCAGCACTTTTCAAAAACGCCAGTACAAATGTTGTGTTTTTTTACTGTTTACTCCGCCAGGAACATAGGGATTTTCTTTTTTATTATTTACAAAGCTGCATTTAGATGTTTTAGGCTTTCAAATTAAATTTCATCTGCATATTATGTTCCCTGAGCAAGTTACAGCTATTTATTACAGTATTATCCTAGGCGTTTTTCACTGAAAAACGCCTAGGATCATATGGAATAATTAAAACGAAATGTATTTCCATATTTAAATGACTGATCATGTTTCTTCTGTCAAAAAAAGGTTGAGAGAGTAAACAATTAAACCATAACAGATGACATTGCAACAAAAATAACTTGTTTCAGAGATATATATTATCATTTGAAAATTTAAATACAAACACAAACAGTGAAACAAATTCAAAGTGCAAATTAACAAAGTGCAAATTATATTAAAACTATAAACAAAGTATTAGGAATATATAGAAAGTGCAAAAGTACAAAGAGCAAATGATCTTCAAACTATAACCAAAATATTAGAAAAATATATAAAGAGCAAAGGAAATGTATCCACATTCATCATGGTCTGGGTCGCTCAGGTGTACAGCTCTGCTGCTTGCCATGAACCTGTCTCTTGTCATGACAGAAGCAGGAAAGAGAACACTTAGGTGTGATCCCTTCCTCCAGTAGTCTCTTACTTTGAGCAGTTTTAGAAGTGCCATGAACATCATAAGGCCGACATACATGAGGAATTGTACCGGCTTTCCCAAACAAACTTTTCCCCCTTAGCCTGCTCCTTTTCAGCATTTTTGTTTGTGTTCTTGCAGATGATATTTACAGCTTGGTTGTTAAAACAATTTCTAAATATTTGTGCAGGAGTATACTCCACACCAACAAAACCTTGGACTCCAGGGGCTCTTTTCGGGCAAAAGTGTGGTAGTTGTTGGGCAGTATCTGGCACCTCAGGTCCGTTCCAAACAGCTCCTGGCTCTTCTGGGGTCAGAGATGTTTTTTTCCTCTTCCTCTTCCTCTCCCTTTCACTGTCAGGGGGGCTGGCATTGGTTTGGCCTTTTTTCTGGATGCTGCACCCTCCTGGCCGCATTATTTTCCCTCTCGGTTTGAAGGAGGCCTACTGATGGGGACAGTGGCTTGTGCATCCCCTCTCTCATCCTCTGTACTAAAATAAAAGGGAGGAAAATATACAGATATAAATGTCTGAATTTATTTTATTTCCTTTATTGCTTTTATTTCTCCAGGTGTCATCCTATCTGTTTTCTAAACACAGTCTCAACTTTTGATTTGATTCACACTTTATCTCTCTGCTAACATTACTAGTTGATGGAATCAGTAACTGAATTGTAATGCAATGAATATAATAACATTAGACCTCATAACAAACAACCAAAGAGGGCAAGCAGAATGAGGCAATAAATGAAAGGTATTGCTTGACGTTTTTTTACTGAAATAAATAGTAGCCTCTATTGATAGTGAATCTTGAGCTCAGGACTTCACTTTATGACACAATTACGGCAAATGGCCATCCATTATAAAAACTCTTAGGGCTAATTATTTTCGGCGTTATACAGCAACAACAACCGATAAATGCAACACAAACAATAAGAAATAAGCAAAGTTACTCACTTTTTTATTTTCGAAGGGATCAATCCCGTGATCATACTCCTCTTCCTTGCCAGTTGTCAGCTTCAGAATCTGAGGAATCCACCGCTGCATCGCTAAGCGGTCCGCCAGACAAAATAAATTCTACGGTTTCTTCCGTAGTGTAACGCCGTTTTGACATGTTGGTTTGAATTTGTCTTGGGATATGTGTGTGTGTGTGCGTGTGTGTGTGTGTGTGTGTGTGTGTGTGTGTGTGTGTGTGTGTGTGTGTGTGTGTGTGTGTGTGTATGTATGTGTATTTGTGTGTGTGTGACTGTATCTAGATATCTCGTGTTGTATTTATTTCTCTTACGCTGGCAGAATTACTCTTCTTTAGTATTACTCTCTCGTCTCTCTGTTTCTCTTTGTTTATCTCCCGCCGCCAAAAACATACACAGCAACCTATGTTGATTGGTCGAGAAGATGGTAGCATGGGCAGAGGTTTGCCTGGACCTTTACATTTGAAACCTATCCGGACACAGGGGGGTGGGACTTAGTCTAAAACCTTTGCTGTTTGGCTCAGACAGAGGGGCCGCGTGGGTCTCCTTGACGAATCAAGGCTGTAAAATGTGATAACGTTGCCCCGATCACGTCGGAGCCTCTAAATCCCGGAAAAGGACATAGTGATACCAGCAAAAAGCCTAGAATAGCCGCTTTACCTCACTTTTTAAATCAGATGGATAGAATTAGCGGTTAAAAAGTTATTAAGCATTTTAGAACGCTACCTCTTTGAAGCCGCGGGCGGCTCGCTCGGCCTTTAAGGGTTTTAATGTGTGATTGTTTTTGTATTATTTGACTTTAACTTTAACTATATATATATTTATTTGTTGTTCTTTTCTTTTCACTATATCTGTAAAGCGTCTTTGAGCACCTGTAAAAGTGCTAACAAAATAAATCTATTATTATTATTATTATTTGTTCTGGGAATGTCCTTTTCGAGCCTGAGACCTGGAACACATATATTTAGGGTGCGTTCACACCTGCCTTGTATAGTCCGGTTGAATCGAACCCTTGTGCATTTAGCCGCTTGGTGCGGTTCATTTAGGTGGGTGTGAACACAGTCCGAGACCTCTTAAGTGAACTAAACAACCGGACTCCCTTTAGCGCTTGCTTGCGAACTCTGGAGCGGTTCATTGCTGGTGTGAACGCAGTCCGCACCAAAACATAGGAAGCGTAGTATTTACGTGTCACAAGAACGCGGATATCTTCAAAATCTTTAGCGAAAGAGTCTTTCAAGACATCCGCGGTTGTTTAGTTAAAGAGTGAAGCAGAATTAAGTGTTGAACAGTGTCGTGAAAAGTAAAAATTCTCCGTCAGCTACATAAAAGTAAGAACACCTGTCGTCGGTGAAACGCCCCTCCTTACTGCAGAACGTCTCTCATTATATGTGTTATAATGTTTTTTATCGGACGTTGTCTGATTATATAATTATATGCGCGGGCCGCTAGTGTCTGTTGATCTCCAGATTAACAGCAGCATGAGAATAACCTGCCGTAAATGCCGGTGCTCCATGGCGGAGGCTCCGGTAGAAATTGCCGGGATTTGCGTTTTTACCCCCTTAATGTCTGACCAATGTGTTTTAAGTTTGAGTTTTGCCCGTGTGAACGCAAACCAAACCTTCTGAAAAATGAAACAATGTAACAAACTGTACGGTGCGCACCAGAAAAAGGACTATTAGGTGTGAATGCACCCTGACCCCTAGATTCCACCGGGTCCGTCTGCGGCGTGTTACGGCTGCGCCGCGGTTTTGGTCCGGCCTCCTCCGGCGTCATACGCTACCGGGTGCGTTTCAGAAGCATTTCAGAAGCGGAGCATCTTGCCTGCCGGCTCGCAGTTTTTGTTGATTTGGGCATATTTCCTGGACAGGCTACTTTGTACAGACAAAGTTAATAATAATTGTAATATCCCAGTTATAAACAACATGAATCAAAGATGTGTTGCTGTATTTTAGTGGTAAATAAATGCATTCATCATCATAATTATTCTATATATATAATTTACACAGTGCCTGTAAATAGGAGGAGAACGCTGGCATTTCTCCTCCTACTTGAAAGACTACGGAGGGATAGGGTCTGCAAAATTTGTTTGTGTGGTGTGTATATATATGCTATATATGCTCTGAACGTTCTACTTCCTGCCTGCCCGATATTACCTTACGGCTGCGTCACGTCGAAAAATAGACTTCAATCCTATTTCGAGCGGAGCCCAGCGGCGAGACGCTTCTGGGACGCTTCTGAGCCGTAACGAGGCGCGTCTGGTGGAATAGCACCCATTGACTAGAGTGGCCGCGATCCTTGCGGATGCCGCGGCGCAGCCATAACGCGCCGCAGACGGACCCGGTGGAATCTAGGGGTTAGTGTGCCCTATGTTTGTGCAGGTTGGACGGGGCAAAGGTTGAATCGTGGCGGTCTTTTGGGGAGGGGACCTGACACCTTCAAAATAAGCCACTTTGTTGTCTAAACCAGATGTTACAGCCTTTCCCCAAAAACACTAGCACTCCACATAAATTTAGAGCTTTAATCGTCTAAAATAAACAAAAAAAGTACATTTCCTTCAGATGATTACGCTTTTCTAGTTTTACATGTTGACTTTGCAGACCGCCATGACTGTCTGGAATGGGAACAGTTCTACCACTTTACCCTGAGTGCAAAGAAAAGCACAGCTAACACTCACCTCAACGTTTCCTTCTATGGTAAAAATGTGAGGCAGGAGGTCTGAAAGAGAGGAGTGGGCACGTTGGAACAATGCACAGTTTTTCTAAAATCTGCAGCAGCAGGAGAGAAACGCCAATGACAAAACTGAAAAGATTTACTTTGTTGTTTGTACTTGATATAGGGGAAATGCAAACCTGCAAAACAAACTTTTTTTACTGCTTTATTTAGGTCTTAAGTATATTGTATGTTGCACTTCTGGAGAAGAATAGGCGTAATATTTGTAATTGAAAAAAAAACTATGCTGTAACTGTACACTGTAAACCCCAACGGTACTACTAACTCATAAGTATTATGGGTACTGCAATCAAAACCAAATATCAAGTCAACCGAACAATAAACGTATACGTTGTTTTAACGAAAAGTGCTGTTTAATTTTATGTGAATCATAGTTTATGAGTGAATATTCAAATTTGAATTAAAACTTCTGAGTGAACAGTCACGCAGCGTCTGACGTCATTACGTCATGACGTTACGACGAATCGAGAAAAATCCATCCAACAAGCTCTTGCAAGCGAAGGGATTCCACGCATGGTTTAACTTGTAAGTACCTAAATAAATCGTTAAAATTGTTTTTCTTGTTATAATATTGTAAGGATATATCACCCGAAGATTATATGTGATCGTTAGACCCCATTGTTTAATTCAGAGTTACGTGCTGAGCGCCGCAGTTACCGGCTGCTTCGCGCTATTTTTTGAATTTCGGACTGCCGGTTAAGTACTGTAAGGACGTTAACGTTAGAGCAGCAGCATGTTAACTAGAAACTCCTATTAGTCAACGGCAGCCCTACTGTTTAAAAGTGTGTTTCTTACTGGTGCTTATTAACGCTATTATCTGGTAAATGTGATGTAATTCCTGAATATTCTTAAATTAAGCTAGTAGCTAGCTAGAGCTGTTTTGCACAATTACGTTGATGCTAGTGACAGTAAGCTAATGAAAACGGCAAGCTTGTATTACAACTCTGCACATTTATTTTTGCCGTAGGGTGAAGCTGGTGCATAGCAGTGAGACTCCTCAATATTCAAGGTAACTTATTGCTAACCCATAGCTACTGTGTTCTGTTTTTTAATTTAAAGGAGACCTATCATTCTATATTTAAATGATATAGTGTATGACCATACCTATATAAGGTATATTTATACATTTTATTTTTCAAAATACCAAACGGATCATTTTTTAGCCATGCCTCGTTTCGCTCATTTTCGCTCTATTCCAAGCCTGTCTTTGAAAATTCTGAGCAGCAGCTGACCACGCCCCCCTGCAGAAGAGCGGGGCATGCGCCGGCGAGAGTCACGTTACCATGCTTGCTGTGATTACGTGTGGAATAAACATGTAATCTCAGAGCAATGCATGTGTTCAAGCATATTATGAATTTGATCCAGAGACTGACCAGCGGAGGTTTTGGTGGAGGTGGAAACATCTCGGTTGCAGCAGGACGTTTCTGAATGGTTAGTTGACAAGCTGTTGTCCCTATTTATTTTACTCTGTTACGATGCTTGCTACTTATTCCGTTCATATGTTGGCTAATTAGCAAGAATGCAATGTGTACAGTTTGTAACTTATAGTTTGTAACGCAAAAACAGCAATACATATTTATAAAGGGAGACATTCATATTTTCAGCATATATACAATGGCCTCATTGCGTTTATTAATAGTTTACAGCCCTTTTCTTCCAACATCGTGCAACAACCGTTGGAAAGTTCAATAACTTAGGGTGATAAAAAGTATAACTCCAACAACACCTCAGTTGTCAGCAATGTGTGCAGTTTCATGTGTTTTTAAAAGCTCAGTTATTGACTTCTTTCTACAGTTGTTCATGTGCAAATTGCGCCACGATGCCTTCTGAACGGAGAATGTGTGCTGCATGGAGATACCACAGGTAACATTTTTGATAGCTTCACTAAGTTGTCTGTTTAGAGAATACATTTTTAACATGTCATTCAATATATCTTTATCACACTAGGTGTCAAGACGGATGCAGGAACTTGAAGACTCTGTTAACTGTATGGTGGACCATCCTGGATTGGAGCCTGTGTGCCTGAATGTGTTCTCCCTGCAGAATGCATTTAATATTTACAGAGCTGAACATGGTGGACTACAGTTGAGGCAAATAGAGCAGTGAGTGGTTTGTTTGTTTTGACTGAAATTGTAAAACGAATGCTAATATTGTTCATGGAAATAAATACTGGTGTATATGGCTTTATGCAATCTTTCATTGTACATGTACTATTATATATATATATATATTATTACACAGCAATGGCATAACACACCCAAGTGTACGACAAAAAAAGTCCACACACAACCTTATGCTTTTGAAATCAGAATATTCTTTACCCATCCAAACATAAATAATCACGACACATTTGATATCAACTCTGAACTTTATTGTCATAATGAACGGTTCTTTGAACCCATAAAAAAAAACTAAATGTACTTGTATTATATATAAATGACACTAAATATATTTTGTAATGATTTCAGGCGTCACAGGTATCTAGCCTACTGAAGCTTTGTGAGCTGGTGCTGGGGCTTCCTTGGACGCAGGATCAGAGTGGTGATTCCGGCCTGCGTTGTCCTCAGGATTCGCAGAGAGTTTCCTGATCCGCGAAATATCTATGTTGGGTTCAGACAGCAGCCAAATTGAACCGAGTAGCATACCCGGAGATGACCTCCTCCCTGTCAGGTCGCTCATATTGGGAACACAGGTCCTCTGGGATGGGTATCTTCAGAAGCTCCTGTGTGAATGGTGCAGGGTCCACAAAGACTTGGTCGAAGATGAGGTCCATCAAGTTGGCCACGTAGCCTGTGCAATGTTAAAAAAAGCACAACAAAAAATGTGGTTTACATTAGTATATGCATGTACAAAACTGAAAGTTATTTTTTATTTATTTATTTTATATTTGTAAATAGTTGTATAATAAATATTTTAAACACTTACAGAATGTGGGGTCAGTCTTTACTGGTTTTGCTCTGCATTCTCCCTTCCTGGCCTTTGGGAACTGCAGTTTATACAGAGGCTTTCCAGTGGATGTAGTGGCTTGTGCACGCTCAGCGTTTTCATTGTAGTGCAGGGCTGCCAGGTACAGTCTTTCATTTCTGCCATGAGTAAAAAAAAAAATGTAAATAATAGCAAAGGATGTACAAATTGTCACTAATTAGTAAGTAACTATGGTTTATTTTACCTGCACAACATTCTTTGGAGCAAAGCGCAGGATGACGGCATGGAATGACTCCAAAGATGAAGTCTGGTGGTGTGGGCTGAGTTTGGCCACAGCTTTCAAAATCCTCTTGGTTGAGAGAATTGTCTCCAGCTTGTGAAAGGCCGGCGTTCCTAAGAATTTGAAAATCAAAGTCATATTTGAATTGTCATGCTTTATAGATTGTGTCTGACAACATCCTGTATTCAATAGTTGTCCCTTACAAATATTTATAGAGGAGTAATGTAATATGGTTTATGAACAACATACCTGCAGCCATCCATTGGTATTGCGCAATGCGCAGTGGATGAAGGCACTTGGGGAACAGGGGGTCATCATGAGAGTGGATATCCTGCACGTGGTTCAGGATGGAAGTCCATTTGGCCACTCTCTCAGGCCCGGTGGTGGAGGTTGCTGCAGTCCAGTATATGTGGTTTCTTATACTCTTCACCCACCCTCGAAGTTTTTCGCAGTCCTTTTTTGCAGCCTTCTCCAGTTGCTTAGAAATCCCTAATAAATACATTTAACATGTAGTTAATATACATACAAGTTTACTCAAAATATTATTATACTAATGTGATTGTAGGAAGCCGGGTTTGTGTCTAAATAAAATAATGATTGTATTTACAATCGATTTATTTACATGGAAATTAATATAAAGAAAAATACCTTTTTTCTATGTGCCACACATCAAAGAATTGGGTGATGCTGCTTTCCCTTAGGAATTTCTGAATTTGCAGATGTCTGTCCGTGACAATACAGTCCAGAGTCACACCACGTTCCTTTAACAACTCCAGACTCCTTTTCAGGCCCTCTAACTCCATGTGGTAGCTTCCACCAACCTCATTGCTCTGTTATGACACATACAAATAACCATTGATACACACATTTTAAATATAACGTGCAAACAGTGTTAAAGAAAAAAACATTGATATTTCATTTCACCCCACTTACCTGAACCAACTGGAGGTCAACGACTTTGTTGTTCTTCAGGTCCATCATAGTGTAGCTTCCGAACTTTGCAGAGTGGCCTGTGAAAATATGTTTTACAGTAATTACTTTTCTCTGCGGATGGTGAATTTGTATTTTTGCTTGTAGTGTTTAGCATATGTTTTTTAGGAACCATTAATTAAATAAATCACGCATAGTGAAACCCCTTTCTGAAATGTAAAATGTGAATTATATAAAAAATACATACCTGGGGAGTCAGCCCTCATATCACCACCAACTATCACTTTCTCCTCTGCATGGAGCTTCTGTAGCATGTCTTCCTGTGATTTTTGCCAGTAAGAAACAATCGCTGGCTCAATGAACATCCTGGCATGCCTTCGGAAGGTGTTGTATTTGCATAGCTGCATATTCATTGCTTTGAAGACCTAATGGTTGAAAGAAAACCGCAAGAATACATTTTAATCTCAAAGATCACCTGTAGATGTGTCAATGAGGAGAACCTGGAAAGTGCAAATGAGCTGCCCTTTTTTTAAACAGGGAAAGAGCTGAACATGTCATATGGGGTGCTTACTCTACAGTGCCCCTTTCACATCTCTTCTCTTTCTCCACACCACCCTCCCAAAATATCTTTACATATTAGCATGGGTCGTTACCTAACAGTGCCCTATTCCCATCTTTTCTCACTATTGTTATTGTTACCTTGTCCTATCTTATTCAACAACAACATTTGCATTTTCAAACATTGGCAAAACAATCTTCTGCAGTTAATTTACCTTTGAAAGTTTGTAGAAAGATGCTCCGTTGACATATGTTGCAACTGATAGCTACAGGTTTCCAACTGGAGTACTCCCAAGAACAGGCTGGCTATTCCAGTTTCTTGTAAACTGACAATGGGGGCACAGCTGCTGCACTGATATGAATGTACCGATCCTTCTGGTTTGTACATCACACACACGCTTGCACACAGGACATGATTCAAAAAGCTCCATGAGGCAGGTCTCATACACGATGTATGTGTTGATCGTCTGGGGGGGGTTTTGTTCTTGACCACTAAAACAAAAAAATAGAAGTTAAGATCCATCACACAGATTGTTGCTTTAGAGATCTTTGGTGTTTCCCTATTATCAATGTTTGAATTATATACAGCAAAAAATACAATACATAGACAAACTCACACATAGTGATATTTCAGTAACTTATGACATGGCTGTTGTTTCTGTAGCATTTGTTATGGATTCTGCTGGATCATAAGTTGCATCCTGGCCTTCGGAAAACACCAAAGAAGAGCTTCCCTCAAATGGATCTTCGTATTCCTCTTCAAGATCCACACGGGCCTCTTTGGTGGTCTCTTTAAGGGGGTGGATGTTAAAAAGGGCACTGGCACTTCCAACGGAAGTGTTTCGACACCAACGCTTCTGCAGGGAATTTTAGCCTGGACAGCTGTAACATAATTGTATTTGACATTAAAAACAAAACAAAAGATAAAACAAAAATATTTTTACAACAATTAGAAGCACACAAATTAAAGGCTACAACATCAGAATGTCAAGATGTATCCAAAGAACATTTGAAAAACGTGCTTCTAACCTGTACTTCGATGTGAACCAAGAGTCCTCGAGGATAGCTGTGTACGAACAGTACGGTACTTGGGTGGGTCAGTCTGACATGCAGAATCTGTCATCACAGGTAATCTGCTGGTAGCATGTGAGGTGCTGGCCTGTAAAGAAGAAAACAAAATCATCTCAATTTAGTATTCAGGATGAGAAAATACTATTTGGATAAATATTGTCTGAAATCCCAAAAGATGGGGGTTAAAACTCTCTATTTAGCAAAGCTCTTTGCTTAGCCTTTTCCAATCTGAGTTAGTTTTGAACCGTAACGTGCATGCTGTGTTTCTGACTCAATACAGATGATGTGTTGGAGAGGGGCTGAGCTCAGTAGACTGACTGTAATGAGTGCTAGCCACTAATTAGCCTGTTGCTAGGTAAGGCCTCGTCAACAACAACAGACCAACGGGGCTTTAGTTCTGTTTTACTCATGGTGTGTGTGTCCCCTCACATACATACACACAGTGTTGTATCCTAACACATCCCCATTTATATTCATGTGCGTAAACAAGTAAACATACAAAAGCTTTTACATATAACGCTGGAAAAAAACGGCATGTCTCATTAGCGTAGCTTAGCTTACAGATCTGATCGTTCTTAGAGACTACAATCACAAAAGCTTTTACATATAACGCTGGAAAAAACGGCACTTACCTACAGAAGATTACGTTTGTTATTATAACTTACTCAATATGATTTTAGAGGATACAAAATACTAATAAATAGGAGAATAAATACTTGTGTTATCGGCTAGGGCGTGGCTTTACAGCCTTCACACAGATCGCCATTACGGCAGTATGTCTGAACATGTTAGCAAATGCCTGATAATTAAAATAAAAGACAAAGCAAAGACTGCGGAGCGTACAATATAAAATGTTATAAAAACATATAAACACCTAACCGATTACTATTTGGGTTTGAGGCGACATTGATACGGCGAAGCTACATACTACATGCTACATACTACAAGCTAGAGATAGCTTTATCAGGAAAAACACCGCTAAATAAAAACTTACAGCTTCAAAATTGGATGTGTCCTCACTGGCCTGCTCCCGGATGGTTGGTATTGATCCCGGGTTTAGCATTAGCTTGGAGGCATATCCGTGTTGGACTTGAGAGAAGTTCATAAACATGTCCGTGGTAAAATGTTTGGAACACACAAACAGAAATCTGCCGTGGTCTTCTGGCACATGTCCCTTGAAAATGAAGTCTAGCCACAGATTCTTTTCTTTTTCCACTGATGGCATTGCATGCAGTCCCCCTTCTCGAGTCTTGCAGCCAACAACAGCACAAAGTTTAACTCGCTTAGACATCCTGGCAAGAGCAGACAAAAACACAGATGTGACTGGAGTTGATTTAGCCTGCCGATAGCCTATATGCGAATGAGAGGTTTGGCAATGCACGTGGCCGTGGCTCATTCCCCTGATAGGTGGAGAGTTGACCAATAAGCGGAGCACGTCTCTTTGTGACGTAGGAAAGTGTTGAAATCTGGATCCGTTTTTTTCAGATCCGTTTCAGCCCCTTTTTTAGAGATTTGGCGAAGGAGGAAAATAGAGAGGGTTGTGTTTTCTGACACTTGGTGAGTTCCCTGGAACACCGGGGACACATATTCATGTATAAAAGACGTCCAAAGGTGCATTTTGCATGATAGGTCCCCTTTAAATTATTTTAGAACTTTTTTCCAGTAGCTTTATTTAATTAATTAGGTATTCAGAACATTAAATAGAACTGGCCTTTCTACAGTAATCCGATCATCATGCTTTGTTGAAGTTTCATGGTTGAAATGGTTCAATGGAGTGTAAGGACGTTAACGTCAGAGCAGCAGCATGTTAACTTTAGCTAGTAACTCATATCAGTCAACGGCAGCCCCACTGTTTATAAGTGTGTTGCTGGTGCTTAATGTTATCCGCTATTATCTGGTAAATGTGATGTTATTCCTGAATTAAGCTAGTAGCTAGCTAGAGCTGTTTTCCACAATTACGTTGAGGCTTACACACAGGCATGTTTGCTAGTGACAGTAAGCTAATGAAAACTGCAAACTTGTATTCAAACTCTGCACATTTCTTTTTGTCGTAGGGTGAAGCTGGTGCATAGCAGTGAGACTCAAGATTCAAGGTAACTTGAACAGAACTGGCCTTTCTACAGATCCGATCATCATGCTTTGTTGAAGTTGCATGGTTGAAATGGTGCAATGGCATGGAAGTGCAAAGTGTGTGCTGTCTCGTCAGACACCCGGGCTCAGTTATTTAGGCACTATTGTTTGAAGCATAGCCAGTACTCAATAATTAACCCTTTGCCATTTGTCTATGACTCTTTCATTTTTTACATTTCAATCATTTATCATTGCAGGAAGTTGAGAAAAGTGAGAAGAACCTCATCTTGATAGAAAAGCTCATGCAGACGACTTTTACCCTTCGTTGCCAGGAGATCGTTCAGGAAAATCCCTTGGTCGGGGACTTTTTAGAGAAATGGCTGGCCCTCCGGATGGAATCACAGGTAAAACACAGACGCTCTCAGAAGTTTTAATCTGTCTCTTAGTCTGCACACCGTTTCCCAATTTTGCTTGCAAAAACTGCCTACTTTGCACACAATGGAACAGTGTTGTTGTTCAATGTTAATTATAAAACAATATTTATTTTTATAATATAAATAATAATACAAATTAAATGAATACTTTGAATATGATCATGTTGCAATATATTTTTACGGAAACAACAAAACAGGTTGCATCACTAATCATTTTACAGTTGCATATCCATTAATGATCTTTATACATTTGTGTGTTCCTGTAGGTTTGTGCCGAGTTTCACCGAATCACAAACGTCAACCTACGGAACCAGTTATTTTCTGAACTAGACGGACACACCCTGAGGCCCTGCGTGAAATCCTAAGGATTTGTGATCTCCAGGTGAGTTTAATAGAAGTTTGGTCCAAATCAAGTGTTTCCAAAGACAGCCGAGGCTAAATTACTTGATTGGAACACACCTTAGTATCAATGCTTATTTACTTTTACACATAACCACATTCATTAAAATTCACAAATAATAAACAGATAATGTAAAAGATACTGGATTGTATTTTTCAGAAGAGTTTCACAAATATAACAATAACAAATAGGGGGGGGGGGGGGGGAATATTTAAAATTATTAATTTAATTTGACAACAATCAAAAATAAATATGTATATATTAATTTAAAAAAGCCATTGCTTTTTAATTATGCTAGTTTTTGCTTGTCTTTCCAGGAAGTACAGGATGTCCACATGAAACGCAATGCAGCCCTTCGAGCCCTCCCATTATACCTGCGTGAGGAGGACCCACAGTTCTTCAAGTCTTGGAGCGTAAGTATTTAGTGCACTCAAAGTACTGTTAGTGAGGTCAGAATGTGTGCTTGTAAGAAACTGTTTCGCTATTTTACCCTTCCAGTTAAAAAAAACAAACAGATGGGAGCAATCAAAAATATTTTCAGATATATGAAAGAAAGGTTCACCTAAACACATTTTTTAAATGCCTTCCTATATACTTACCTGTTGAGGAATATGTGAATGAGATTGTTTAGTTACTTCAAGTCAACCTTACAGTTGGACTCTATGCATTTCCAGGCAGAGGAGGTGGACCGGCCAGACATCACCAACACACCGGTTGCTATTGTCAGCATGGTCACCGAGGGCACTCCAATTCAAGTTGATCTCAGTCCGGCAAGTACTGCTATTCTGGTGGAAGGTGATTTCGTCATCAGCAATATCCGCAGGATGGCGGATTCCTTTGCATTGTTGTTTGGCTTGATGTACGTGTTACATTTGGACTACCCCAAGAAACTCATCAACACTTTCACTTTCATACAGAAAGTGCTGATGGGCCTTGATGATGGTAAACCACTGAAGCCCTGCATACTCAATCTAAAAAAATGACCTGTTACTAAAAAAGTAGGCCGTGTTACAGGTTGAAACTTTGCACATGCCAATGTTTGTTTTGCACAGTTAAAGGTGGGGTAGGTAAGTTTGAGAAACCGGCTCGAGATACACTTGTTGTTATATTTCATGGAATGCTCTTAACATCCCGATAGCAATGAATATCTGAAGTGCTTTGACAAAAAATCCATAAAGAAGTGTCATCTGTGGAAGCCGTAGTACTGTAAAAAGCACGACCAATCATCTTAGCCGGCCCGGCTAAAATAACTGGATGGCCTACCTGCCTGTCAGCCTTCCATCTGTGCACAAACTTATCTCGTGCCCTCATTGGTCATGTGCGCGTTCGTGTGTGTTGGAGGAGGGGCTCTGGAAGGAAGTGGCAGATTTTTTCCAGCTGTGTATTTTCAAATTCTAGCACACTCGAGCTGGTTTCTTCAAAATTACCAACCCCATCTTTAATTCGTTGCTTAAAGCAGTTGAATGATGTTTACATTGGGTAGAATGTCTAAATCTACCTCAGTTGTTCATGTTTGCACTGAAAGTGCTGATGGTCCTTGATGGTGGTAAACCACTGAAACCCTGTGCCTACAGTTGTTCATGTTTGCACTTTAACTGCTATGGCACGCTGTTTTGAGTATTTATTTCATATCCTTGATATCAGACAGCAATTACCTACACTAACTGGCTCTTTGATTGCACTTGTTAGATATATGGTCACTAGTTTGACATTCTGCTTTACTAGTTGAATAACACATTATACTAGTCACTCTTTTTCAGCCACTAGTGGCACTTTTGTCTGACTAGTTACTACATAAGCCTTACTAGTGATGCCAGGAGCAGCACCAAAGTCCCAACGTGTAAGCTTTTTTGATGAACTAGTGACCCTCTGACCGTACTAGTAACACTAAAAGTTAACAGCACTGCAAAAACTCAAGTTGGGACTTTAGTGCTACTAGTGCTGCTCATGGCGTCACTAGTAAGGCTTATGTGGTAACTAGTCGGACAAAAGTGCCACTAGTTGCTGAAAAAGAGTGACTAGTATAATTGTGTATTCAACTAGTAAAGCAGAGTGCCAAACTAGTGTGACCATATATCTAACAAGTGAAATCAAAGAGCCAACTAGTGTAGGTAGCTGCCGTCTGATATCAAGGATATGGAATACATACTCAAACGGCTTGCAAAACTCCTTGAAATGTTTCTTTTTACAAATAGAAAATATAACTAATTTGTATTAAATTTCCTTTTTTGTGAACAATAAGTACCTTTTGAAAAATGTATTTTAATTTCTAATTCTTTTATTTTGAAATGTGACTTACAGTTTGATGGTCTTTTTAAAAAAAAGTGTTGCAGTAAGAAATTGCATGTTTTAGAATTCACGTTTTGATTGGATGAAAAATTTAAGACTGAATAAATAAAAAAACTAAAGTCTACAGAAGTTGTTGAAGTTCTTTGAGTATTTTGTACTTAAATAAATAAGAAAATATTGGCCAATGAGTTATCTAGAAATATATTTTTTGATTTCAATATTCATGCAATGAAGTACTTTTGCATCAAACTAATTCATTATGGAGAAATATTTTTTTTTAAATGTGTCAAACAATGTTTATAAGTACAGTATACTTAAATAATACACAAATAATAATTAAAGTTTGAAGTTTAAGTAACTTATCATTTTTGATCAATCATTTACTCTATAGTCTTAAGTTAGTTTACTTAAAACTTTTGTGGTAGTCAGTTTCCACAAAAGTTTTGAGTACTCCGAACTAATCGGGTTTTACAGTGTAGTGCATACGACAAAAAATCCTTTCATTTATTATTATGTGATGTTTTAACCAACACAGTCTCACTCCCTGAACGTCCAGGAGCGCCGGATTCATTTTAGAAGTGGGGGGGGGGGGCCAAAAAAGTGCGTGTGTATGGCCCTATCCCAAACCACACCCTACCCCTACACACTCCCCCTCCGTGACGGAGTGAACTCCGTGGAGTGACACATGAGGCCCCCTCCTGTCAGATGGAGGGAGTAAATACAGCGGCAAGCTTTGGGACAAACTCCCCTCTCTCCGGCAGAAACAGGAAATGCCGTAACTGTATGTAACAACGGTTACAAATCAGCATCTCTTTGACAAAAAATGTAAATTAGTAACTCAAATAAAACTCCAAACATCTTTAATTGTGTTTTAGTTTTAAACCTGATAATGTCACACTCCTGGTTTATGTCACAGTTGTAGTGTTGTCTGTCTGGTTATGGGTTTTGTAAGTCTGTTCATTCTGTGTTATGTCTTCCTCCTTGAGTTTTGTCTGGTCCTCCTCCCTGTCGTTAGTTTCCCTGGTGTGTCCGATTGTCTCATTGTGTTCACCTGTTGCCCTTGTGTTTCTCCCTCCCCTGCCCAGCTGTGTCTTGTCCTGTGATTACCCTTCTGTGTATTTAGTCTAGTCTTCCCCTGTCCATTCTGTCAGGGTGCGTGGAAAAGGTAGGACCCAAATGCAGAATTTTAACAAAAAGCGAGCTTTATTAAATAATAAAAGCTGTGTCAAAAGGCAGTATCCAAAATATCCAAAAACAAATGAGCAGCACAAGGAACATGGACCGTGGAATAACATGGAGGGAAAACAATGGTAAAGTGCACTGCTCTCAAGCAGATAGCAGAAGGAATGCAGGCAGATGAGTCTCCATTTCACTGGGGAATCAACTACAGTGCTCACTGAATGAGCCACACAGAAGCAGAGCAATTGGAGGGTTGAAATATGGCGCTCTGATGAAGAGTTTGAGCCAATCAGCACCTCAGTGCTAATCTACAGTATCAGGATGCCTGTACACACCAGACACTCTTTGTCATAAAGAGAGGAGGAGAACGAGTCAGAAAGACTGAGGGACATGTTCTTCCAGCTCTCGTACAAAGATGAACTTTGAATTGATTTTATACCTTGGATGTTTACAGATGTACCATTAATGACTGTTTTTATATTTCCAATGACCAGACATGTGTTGAATAGTGGTGATTAATATATTTTTGCCGGATCAGATTACACTTTCGCACTAAACAAAATATTATTAGACTAAGGTTTTTAGATTATCAAAATTGATAAAAAGAGAGAAACTGTTGGGGAAATATTTTCCAAGGCCCATAACTTTTACCCAGTTTATCAGTTCAAACTGTCCTGACTGAGCACACGCACCTCGTAACCTTGGCTGCTGTGCTCTCAGTGTTCTGTCTCCCTGTTCCTGCCTGTTGGCGTCAGCTGATAGAGGTGTTATGGTTCTATGTTCCTGCCTATTGGCGTCAGCTGATAGAGGTGTTATGATTCTATCTTGTTATGCAGCATGTTGATGATTCTCTCTGAACTAGCTAAATACATGGATCTGGGGTAGAGTTCTTCAGATTTGACGTGGCAACTCTACCGTGAAGTCAGAACCTCTGGCTCTTGGACTTGTGATGTGAATTCTCCGGCCGAAGCTCCAAATAAACCATCAGTGTTTGACATCAAAGCTCCTGCTCTTCCCGTGTCTCTTTCCTGAGTCGGTGACTCCCACTGCATAGCTACACAGAAGTTTCCTCTACAAAAAGGGAGGGAAGAGTCAATTATATTGTGTAATTTATTTTATATTGGAACATTTATTTCTCAAACCTGTTTTATGGAAGAGAAAAAAAAAGATTTCTGATAAACTAATATTTTATCAAACGGTAAATGGTGAATTAATATAACATTGAGAAGGGGTTATATCCACAGGGACTAGCTCACCTTTAAATTACAATAACATTTCTCTGCTTTGGACTGATGAGTATATGATTCTTGCATGTTAAATGACTAACACAAACCTTACATTTATAATGTGCATGTGTCAGGAAGGCTCCCAAATAATTCTGAGGGGCCTATCCTATTTTTGTAATTAAATGATAATGTGCTAATCCATTACTTTGAGTTGTCTGCACTCAGGAAAACATCCCTATGAGGTGCTAACCCAATAACTAGGACAGCTCTGAAGGCCAAGGGTCAGAGAGAGAGGGTCACACTCTCCGGCTGCAGAGGGCACCCCCATCCACGGGCAAGGAGGCACGAGGTCGTTCGAGATGAGAGGATTCTAATCTTCAACTTTCTGAGGAGATGGGATGCTTCTTCATCTTTCTGCTCGGTGGGCTCAAGCAGACAACCCTGCAGGACGAGCGAGGGCTTCAGAGGCTTCATACAAGGTTCCTTGTTTCTTGGAGGAGCAGATGTCTTCCTAACCTCTCCCATCACGGGGGGAGACCTGGATGCGCCACTTGGAATATGCAGTTGCACTGCTCTCAAGCAGATAGCAGAAGGAATGCAGGCAGATGAGCCTCCATTTCACTGGGGGATCAACTACAGTGCTCACTGAATGAACCACACAAAAGCAGAGCAATTGGAGGGTTGAAATATGGCGCTCTGATGAAGAGTTTGAGCCAATCAGCACCTCAGTGCTAATCTACAGTATCAGGATGCCTGTACACACCAGACACTCTTTGTCATAAAGAGAGGAGGAGAACGAGTCAGAAAGACTGAGGGACATGTTCTTCCAGCTCTTGTACAAAGATGAACTTTGAATTGATTTTATACCTTGGATGTTTACAGATGTACCATTAATGACTGTTTTTATATTTCCAATGACCAGACATGTGGTGATTAATATATTTTTGCCGGATCAGATTACACTTTCGTACTAAACAACATATTATTAGACTAAGGTTTTTAGATTATCAAAATTGATAAAAAGAGAGAAACTGTTGGGGAAATATTTTCCAAGGCCCATAACTTTTACCCAGTTTATCAGTTCAAACTGTCCTGATTGAGCACACGCACCTCGTAACCTTGGCTACTGTGCTCTTAGTGTTCTGTCTCCCTGTTCCTGCCTGTTGGCGTCAGCTGATAGAGGTGTTATGGTTCTATGTTCCTGCCTGTTGGCGTCAGCTGATAGAGGTGTTATGATTCTATCTTGTTATGCAGCATGTTGATGATTCTCTCTGAACTAGCTAAATACATGGGTCTGGGGTAGAGTTCTTCAGATTTGACGTGGCAACTGTAGGAGTTTTGAGGTTTTTACAACCCCACTCGGCTCCGCGTGTCGTTTTGACGAGTCCTGCTTAAAATCATAACAGGAAGGAAATCAGAGAACACCAGCATACCAGTTTAAACAATAATCTGTTTTAATTATAAAAGGTAATCATGCAATGCAATATAATACATTACAATATAATACAATACAATTATATTGTAATGTAAGGAGTAGGGCCCACTCCTGCCCTGGTTCGCGTGCTGCGTAGATCCTTCGGTCCTGGCAGCCCGAGAAGAGAGAGCGAACGCCAGGACTAATACAGGAGATATACAAGAATAAGAAGGAGGGGTTAGGTCAGCTGGTCATCTTTTCAGGTCATCTCATTGGGAGACGCAAAATATGCTGTGTCACAGTAAATCAGCGCGGGCCAGCAGAAAACAAAACAGGCTCACTTTGCAACAAAACACATCTTATCATGTATTTTATCACATAAGTCATGTGTTTCTTTATGAAAGCCATACTTGTTGGAAATGTAACAGTCATAATTTCATGACCTCCTCAGGACCAGCTCACCAACAACGCCTAACTGTCTTCATACCGCCAGGCCATCTCTGAACTTCCATTCACCCGAAGTCAGCTTACCCAGAATCAGAAGGACCATTGTCTCTCTTAACTGTGTGACTCAATTCTCAAGG